GAAAACTAGTAAATGTAGAAAGTCAAACTAAGTAAAAGATGTTACTTAGCTTATTTACCTTATCATATATGGTTACTTTTCTTTGTTTTCATTCTCTAAACACCCCTTGTCCAACGCCTACTTTTATGTGAGGAGGAGTGAGTGTTAAGTGAACTAATTCTATTGGTTTAAAAACTTGAAGAAAGTCAATAAAGTTTAAACTATTAACTTAGGTCATTTTTATCACACCAAGTCGGTCTTTTCTCTTTCAAAAGCCTCACGACCAGCCTTTCATCGTCCTCCTTATCTTATCAAAACCGTGGCTTCATGGTTACACAAGGAAGCTTAGAACTTGCTCTTTTAGCCATTAAAATCAAGAATTTCTTTAGAGAAATTAATCCTTGTGACTTTATGATCAAAACCTAGTCATTGAGGAGCTTTGTATATGGAGTTTTTCTCTCCTTCTCCATGCGCTACATAGGCTGTCTTCATAGGGAATTTGATGTGTTTCAAGTCCTTTTGATGAGAAAATGATGAATTAGTCCTTAAAAAAGTGTGTTAAGGTGATTATACTATCTTTCCTTGATTAATTTCATGAATTTCAAGTTAGGTCGAGATGATTTTGGGGCTGACTTGGACTCATCTTTGTCATGTTTATATGACTTAGTTTGAGGTTAAATTGATGAGGTTGTGTCCATTGATGGTTGTTGTTGGAAGATTGTATATTAGTTTATGGAAAATCAAAGTTTGGATGACCTAAAAATATCCTATATGCCTCGGCTTTTATGTGTGTAAAAGGTAGATTAAGTGTTGATAAAATGTCAAAGAGAAATAAAAGTCATTATATGTGTAGATAAAGGTTCAAGTGATGGAAAAATTGAAAGAGATTTCATTGAAAACAATTATGGTCAAATCGGCTATTTGAAGGGCAATGTAATTGGAGATTGTTTTGTATGTTTTAGATGCTAATTGGAGATGATTACTAAGTGTTTAAGTGGGTTAGTATAATGAAATAGTATAAAATTCATGAAAGTCACATCGTCCTTGTTTATGTATAGTTCAGCCTTCTTGATTAATTAGGTCATTCTAGCATGCTTAATAATCATTAGATGTTATTAGAATCAAAAGAAAAAGTTGGAAAACCCTAATTAGGTCTTGTGTGTAGGCTTTATCTATGTTTAGGGTTTGGATGAAAAGTTGAGTAAAAGTTTAAATAAGATTACCTGGTGATCAAACAAAGTATTAACTAAGCTATGGGTATACGAAAACAAGTTAAATTCTTAGTGTTTCCATAGGGTGCAATTCGGCCACTACGTGGTTAATTGACCTAGAAGTGGAATTAAATTCATATAAGTGTTTGATTTCACTTAGCATGTAAATTTAAGTATATGTCATGTAGATTGTTAATGTAGAAACTTATGTTAACTTGTAGTTATGTTAAGATGTGTCAATATGCATAAATCTTGAAAATAGGAAGATATTGTCTATGACTTGTGTGGTGGCATGAATTGGTATTAATAATAATTTAGATGATACAATAGGTTGAAGAACAAGTTTTAGAAGCATTGGACTAAATTCTTGAGATTCAAGTAAGCATTGAATTTGAGCTTTTACAAGTAAACTCTTGGTTTAGAAATTTTCTCTTTCATTGTTCTTCCACCATAGTCCAGTATGGATGATCGTTCATATGCATGTATGATTGATAGTGAGATATTTAGTATATGTGCATTCATATAGACAAGTTATTAATGATGTGATTGAATTGTATATTACAAAGTTATCAAGTTGGAAGTACAAATGCTTCCATAATATTATCATTTGGGAAGTACAAATGCTTCCGTATTAATTTAGTTGTAATACATTGACAAGATTACATGTTGTATTATATGCTTCATATATGACATTTCATGTCGAAAGCGAACTCATGGGTGGAGATTTCTCAATAAATCTAGAGTTTATTGGGATTCATTTCTCACCCCGTTGCGGGGCTATAATTTAAATTATAGGTACATCAGCAGCAGGAGAGTCCTAACAGGGCAAGGGACCAAAGTAGTGAGGATAGAGGATTCAACAGTAGAGGACATATAGTTATTTTGGATGACTGTATAGACATGTTTTGTATTTTAATGACGTATATGATCATGCATTTATATAGTTGATAATCATTTTGAGAGGCGTGTGTAGCCTATATACAGTGATGTATCCATTACATGATTATGTATATGTGGGTGTATGTTGTTAATTCAGTAGTCAATATTTGAAATGGCACGGAGCCATATTAAGGACATGTGTATAGGTTAGACTTTTATGTATTTCACATGACAGGATTAATTGATTTTATCCTTGGATTAATCTGAATTATAGTCGTTATGCTGTCTGTTAGACTCTATACGGAATGATATAAATTATCATATACGAATAGTCATTGGTCATTGATTATGGTCATTTGGATTGTAATTTAGAAATGTTGTACAAATAATAATAAACAATAGGGAATGATAAAAAGGGGGGAAATCATCTCACAAAATTACATAGCGTAATTAGAAAAATTTGTAAGTCTTCCGCTACTATAATTTAGTTTGATGCGCTTTTACGACCATATGTGAGTTAACAATCCGATTATCATATTGAGGCCTTACAGAAGACACTTAAGCTAAGTCTAAGTAATTTAAAATATGAAAGTTGACTTTCACTAATTTCTTTAAAAATTACTACTTGTTCTCATAATTTTCTTCACTTACTAACTTAATTTCTAAACACAATTAAACTTTATTGACATCATATTAAACTCGTAAATTTCTCTAAACTTACACATTATGACATCAAAATCAAGTTTAGGTCAAGTTCATAATTCTCTTATTCATCTCATGATTAGCTTGTCTGAAATTCATTCAAATGTTTACATAATCCATTGTTTACAAAATTGGCAAAAAACTTAAAATAATGTATTTAAATTAAATAATTACGCATTTAATGTTGTTTCGTAAAAAATTACACATCTACTGCACAATGTGACGCCAGTTTTGGGCATCACATGTGACGCCCCATTGGGGCGTCTTATCCATGGGAGAGACGCCCCAATGGGGCGTCACATGTGATGCCCAAAACTAGCGTCACATGTGTGCTCTATATATTTCCTCACCCCCTCCATTCAATTCACACCTCTTCTCTCACTCTTCATATCTCTCTTCTCCACCAACATTCCTTTATCTTTAATTTAGTATTTGAATTGTAGTTGTAATTCTATTTAAAAATGAGCTCAAATCCTGATTCTGTTCGTGTTGTGTTATATTACAATGGTAGGAAGGTAGAAGGTCGACGAGGTGTCATATTCGAAGGTGAAAAAAGGCCGACACGTATCCAACGCAACACAACCATTGGCGAACAGCATCAGAGAATTCGGCAGAAGTTAAGTCTTAAAGACAACCAATGTATCACTGAGATCACGACAAGGGTGTGGCAAGGTGATAAATACATTAGTTTGAAAGTGCTTGACGATGAAGACTTGGAGATGACAATGGAAGAATTTTGCAACCAGTCAAGGACAGATTTTCTAGAGTTGTATGTCGACATCGTTGCAACAGAGAATGCTCCCATACCGGTGAGGTCAGTTTATTTAAATTCTCCCCGTCTTCCAGCTTCTCCTGCCGCTCATGCGTCTCCAGTTGGTATCTTTTCTGAGGGAGATGAAAATGATCCGACTTGGGAAATGCACGACGAAGATGACGATGATGATGATGAAAATATGGCAATGGAAGAACATCTTCTGGCGGAGGATGCTAGTGCTTCAGAAGGAGATGAATCTCGTGAGATGGGTGCGTCTGAAATTCCAATATTCCATCAACCAGTCGTCGCGCAAATGCCACAGTTGAATGACGTTGCGTCTGCTCCGTTTTGGTAATCCACAAGAAGGTAATTGTTCCCATTTGTATACTGTGTGAATAAATAACTCATTTAATACCTGAATTAGTAAGTTCGTATTAAAAAATTATAATCCGCAATTGCAGGTGACACAGATGTTATTCCTTTTTGGGAAGGAATTCCGCATTATTCTTACATTGATTGGAGTTATCAGAGCGAACAAGAATCATGTACTGATGGTTCGGTGTCTGGATCGGCTTCAATACAAGGTCCGTGGCAACTGGGTGACATGTTATTTGTCAATCAAGAATTTGCGACAAAAAAAGATGTCCAAATGGCACTTAAGCACAACCTTATTAGGGAGCATCAAGAAGCCATTGTAATTGAGAGCACGCCTGCAAAGTTGTCCATGAAATGTTGTGCGTATGATTAAGTTTGTCCGTAGCGTGTAAGGGCGATCAAACCGGTGTTTCGTGAAAATTGAAAATAACGAGATGGGGTGGAAAACACGAATGTGTGAATGAGCACATTTCCCAGGGTCATAGACAGCTCGATGCGGACGTTATTGCAGATCTCGTGATAGGTACCTTTTTGTATTTTAGATGTGTGATTGAACACAAATGTGTAATTAAATTCGTTCGATGTTATCGAGGCACTGATATCCTCTTTAATGCAGGGATGATAAAGTTTGAACCATCTGTGTCAATCTCTTTGGTGCAAGAAAGGATAACTGCTAAATATGGCTTTCAAGTTTCCTACAGAAAGGCGTGGTATGCGAAGTAGAAAGCGATGGCAATTCTGTACGGTGATTGGGAGGAATCGTATGCTTTTTTACCAAGGTGGTGCGAATACATGCTTCGCTTTTCTCCAGGTTCATTTTATCATATACAAACTAATGATCTTTATGCCGAGCAGAGCTTAGTTTCTTGAAAAAAGGTTTTTCATCGCATTTTTTGGACGTTTAGACAGTGTTGTGAGGCGTTCAAATTTGCCAAACCCGTCATCCAAATTGATGGAACACATTTATATGGAAAGTACAAAGGGAAATTGTTGGTGGCCACAACCCAAGATGGTAATAATGAATGTTTACCGATCGCATTTGCCATCGTAGAAGGCGAAACTTTGGAAGCATGAGATTATTTTCTCGTTAATATTCGTGCTCATGTGACTACGATGTCAAACATATGTTTGATATCTGATCGGCATAGAAGCATAATATCTGCTGTGGAAAATAACCCTAGCAATGGGACAAGCCGGCAACCAAAATTGCTACCTCCAGACTTGTCTGCCAGCAACCAAGTCCCCAACATCCGGGCAATGTGGGCTTTTGTGAAGTAGATCTCGGCAGCATGATTCCCTTCATGATCAGTCCACCGGGTATAATGTCGATCCAAGAATGAGATGCGGAGGTCGCCAGAATGATGGAACTCACCGGGCTCTGGAACATGTCCGAAAACAGCAGCACAAGCAGCGTGCCAATCCTCAGAGGTCGATCCGATGACGACAGTACCGTCGGTCGGCAAGCCCAAGATGTCTGCCACATCTTGTAAGGTGATCGTCATCTCACATTGGGTCATGTGAAAGGTATGTGTCTCTGGTCTCCACCTCTCGACCAGAGCACTAATTAAAAATGTATCTATCTGTGATAAATTACGCAGTTATCACTAATTAAATAATTACATAAATACAAAACGACATAAATAACATACCTGGATATGTTGCATCCTGGCAACATGTATGAAACCCGCCTGTCTAAGGTACTCTTCCACAACCTGTGGAATAGCACCGGTAGGTGGGCCCCCTTGTGGCTTCCCATGCCTAGTCTTAATCTTTCTTACATGCTCAGTATTCCACACTCGCTGTGAAATATGACCTTTCTGCGTCCTCTGACGAAGGACCTCCCATTTGTACGGTCCAGGTATGATCCACATGCTGGGATCGGTGGGCTCTACATCTGAATCAGATCCCGAAGAAGATGATGACTCAGCCATTATCCTCAACTAACTACAAAGTTATGCACTCCCGCATTAATAACATCATACATACGAAATTTACAAAGTCTCTAACACTATTTATAAATCACTAATTAATATGCTAAACCCTAATACATAATTAAAAATCGGTAATAATAATAACTACGTAATAATAATATTACTATATCATTACAACATTCATAGCATGACACAAAATTTCTAAGTGACTATCCTAATGTTCCAAGTCTCTAATATACAATCAATCCTAACATGTATTACTAACTAGCACTGTAATTTAAATGTATACATATGAGGTATTATGACCTTACCTACGTTAGCAGAGCTTCGCTACGAACCGCGGTTAGAGAGAGGTTGGAGAGAGGTTAGAGAGGTAAATGAGTAAGGAGTGAAAAAAGGAAAGTGAGGTATATATAAGTTGCACATGAGACGCCCTCTTTGGGCGTCACATGTGACGCCCAAAGAGGGCGTCTCATTGTGCAACAAATATGTAATTTTTAACAAAACAACATTAAATGCGTAATTATTTTAATTAATTACATTATTTTAATTTTTTTGCCTTACAAAATTTGATAGTGTGAGTTATTATAATTCTCGTGAAAATGAATATCATAAAATCATAGCGGAACTTGGATCTAATATGTTCCATATCCCACGCTCCTTGTTATATAAGAAATGTTTCCCAAATAGTATATAATAGTCTTTTTTTTATTGAATTTTATTATTGACATAATAAATTAATAATTGTTACGCGGCAAAGGGAACTCAAAGTAAGCTGAAGTTATTATCCACATATTAATGAGTAAAGATACCTTATAATAAGTTAGAATGATATTAAATTTCAAATTGAAATTTTAAGGTATTAGGTTAATGTGTCCTTCGATTTATATAAAAAAAATTTATACACCAACTTTAATTACCTCTTTTTTGCGAGTTGCCTCGGATATCTCTACAAGCTTCAATTATTTAAGTCGACTATAAGACTAATCTCGAGTAAGAGCTTAGTCACAATTAAAGTTCATCATCCCTCCTCAAAGATGTGTTTGGTGAGAATCGAACTCAAGTTAGCTCCCCACTCTACTCAGCCTGTGTTGCCAACTGAGCTCCATCCCTTGAGTTCCATTTATATCATTTTGTTATGTCTTTGTGACAGATATGTCCAATCAGATATTGGTAATATTTCTGTAAGATCTATATGCCCTCTCTCAGTTATTTATGAAAGAGACACCTTTGAAGTTAGGCAGATCACTATGCACAATAATACTGACGGCATAGCCAAAGGATGAGGTGTATGCACAATGACAGCTAAGAGAGAGAGGGTTTAGAATGTGTGTTTCTTATTGGCTTAACCCTTTATTTATAGAGGAGTTACTTGTCTGTAGTGGAATTCTGGGCCTCTTACGAATATTGGGGGTCCAATTTTATGATCTATTGCTGTCATAATAGGATTAGTATAATTAAAGAATCTTTCCTTAATTCTCTCTTAGCTGTTAGTCTTTTTTGAGCCTTCTAAAATATGGACCTCTATGTCAAGTCCATAATACATTTTATTTAGTTCATTCTTAATTAATATGTGACTTCACCACTCATACTTATAAAGGGGTGGCAATTTGGGTTGACCCGCCCCGACCTGCCACCAACCCGCCAAAAACGGGGCGGGCAGGGCGGGCCATGGTTGAATATGGGTTGGAAAATTGAACCCACTCCGTTTTATGGTGGATTGGCGGGTCAACCCACCAACCTGCCAATTAAAAAAAATTAATTAAAATTTAAAATAAAATTATATTTTATGAATTTTTCTAATATTATTTTATCTTATTTCGCACTTCTCTTAATTTTTTTCAGCCTCAATATTAAATGTCTACTAATATTTGTCAAACATTCTTTAGGAACTCATTTTTTATCTTTTATAAGAAGTATTAAGATAAAAAAAAAATTGGATATCACAAAAATCTAATGACAAATAAAATACTACCTAATTGTAAAAAAAAAAATATATAACCCAACGGGTTGAACCCATTTTGACCCACTTCTAGGCGAGGCGAGTTAAAGTGGGTTGGTGGGTTGAAAACCTCAACCCAACCCACCATGTTTTGGCGAGTTGACCCGCCGGTAGTGCTGTGCATGGGTCAGGTCGGGTCAGGTTTTTGTCCCGACTCGACCCAACTTGGTTTTTATAAGTTAAGTATTTTGACCCGACCCGCTTTAATTTGATCCAAGTCAGGTCTGACTTGGTTTGAATTTATTTGAACTAGTTCAGAACCGGGTCGGATCTGACCTGACTTGGTTTTTGAAGTGGGTCACATTCGATCTGACTCGTTTTGACTTGGTTCCTTCTCAAAATTTTGTCAAAATTTCTATGTTGCAAATGACGAAAATTTTGTCACAAAATTATTTTTTTGTCGGAATACTTTTTGTCGAAAAGTGACGAAATTTTTTCTCTTATGAAATTTTTTTAAAAAAATAAGTTTTCTATCGAATGTTTTAAACGAAAAAAGAATGCGTAAAAAATTTTGACGAATTATTTTTCGTTCAAAATTTCGATAGGAATGTGTTCTGACAGAAATTGTTTTGAGGGAAATGTTTCATTCGAAACTTTTGACGAAATTTAGATTCTCTAAAGAATTTTGACAGAATTGTGTTCCGTTTAAAATTTTGACAGAAATGTGTTCCGTTGAGAATTTTGATGGAAATATGTTTTATCAAAAAACTTGACGAAAATATTTAGTCGAAAACTTTCGATGGAAATGTGTTTCGCTAAAAATTTCGACGAAATTTTTTTTTTTGTCAAAAAGTTTAACGAAAACGATTTCGTCGAAAACTTTTGCCGAAATTTGAATTCTGTTAAGAATTTTGATGACATTTTTTTCCGTCAAAAAATTTCGATGGAAATGTGTTTCATAAATTTTTTTGATGAATACGTTTTTTTGTGAAATATTTCGACGAAATTTAGATTCCGTAAAAAAATTTGACAAAAAAAAATTTTCTTCAAAATTTTTTACAGAAATGTTTGTAGTCCCTAATTTTGATGAAAATATTTTTCGTCAAAATGTTTTGCGAAAAAATTTTATCGAAATTTTTTCCGTAAAACTTTTTGATATACTTTTTTTACGTTAAAACTTTTCTTTTAATGTAATTGTGATTTTCTTTTTCTTTTTTTTCACATAATGGATATGGGTCAAGTTTTGGGTCAATGGGTCATTATTAAAACAAGTCAGGTCTAAAATTGACCCAATTAAAAGTGGGTCAGTAATTAAACCAGTTCAAAAAAAAATAGGTATTTATGGGTCAAGGGCAGGGCAAGTGAACCAGTTTTTTTGCACACCCCTACCCGCCGGGCCCAACCCATATTGCCACGTCATATTCTCGTAACATTTTCCTCTTAGACTTTGTTTGAGAGTTTGTTTTAGGAGGGGAAGGAAAGGAAAGAGAAGGTTTTAGCAAACTCTTCCCTTGTTTGTGAGTTCAAAAAAATGAGGGGAAGAAATTGGAAATTTTTACTAAACCCTCCAAAATCCTCCTTCTTCTTAATATTAAAGTTCCACCAATTTTGGGGGTTTGCGAGGAAAAATATTAAAAATTACTTATCTACCCTTAGCATTAAAATGTTAAAACTACATAAATGTGAATCATTTTTAAATGTGACATTATTAGAAAAGTCTCAAATATCGTCAAAAAATATTTTGTCAAAAATAATGATGAAAATTTTGATGAAAATCATATACGTCAAAAAGTTTCTGTCAAAACTAAAGACGAAAAAAGAGACGCAACCAGATTTTGTCAAAATCACTTATATAAATTTTGTACAGAAAAAAAAAAATCAGACAAAATTATTGATAGAATCTAAATTTCGTCGAAACTTTCAACGAAAATATTTCTGTCCAAAATTTTGACGAAACACATTTCCATCGAAAAGTTTCGACATAATTTTGTACGAAAAACATTTTCATCAAAATTTTCAACGATAAATATTTCTATCAAAATTTGTGACTAAAAATATTTCTGTAAAATTTTAATGGAAAATTTTGGTTGTCAAAATTTTTTACGGAATCTAAATTTCAACAAAATATTTCACACAAAAAATATTCATTGAAATTTTTGAAGAAAAATTTTTCATTAAAATTTTAAACGAAACACATTTCCATCGAAATTTTTTAACGGAAAATTTTTCATCAAAACTCTTTACATAATTCAAATTCCGCCGAATGTTTTCGTTGGAAACATTTCCGTTAAACTTTTTCACAAATAAAATTCTACTGAAATTTTTAACGAAACATATTTCCATCGAAAATTTTAGACGAAAAATATTTCCGTCAAGTTTTTTGATAAAAAATATTTCCATCAAAATTTTCAACGGAACACATTTCTGTCAAAAAAATTCGATAGAAAATATTTTCCTAAAAATTTGTTACGAAAAATATTTCGATAAAATATTTTGACGAAAAAAATATTCTGTCAAAATTCTTTACAGAATCTAAATTTCGTCGAAAGTTTCGATTGAAACATTTCCCTCAAAAAATTTGACAAAACAATTTCCGTCGAAAATTTCGTCAAAACACTTTTCCATCGAAATTTTGAACAGAAAACATTCCGTCTAAATTTTTTACGGAATTCTTTTTTTGTTTAAAACATTTGATGGAGGAAATAATTTTTGTCAAAACTTTTGACGGAAACTAAATTTGGTCAAAAATTTGATTCAAAAACTTTCATCGGAGAAAAATTCCGTCGCTTTTCAACGAAAAGTATTCTGACTAAAAAATAATTTTGTGACGAAATATTTATCGTTTGTAACGTAGAAATTTCATCGAAAATATGATCTTTTTTAGTATTGTGAAAAGTACATAAATAATTTTGTTAGAAATTTAAATTTAATTTAATTTGTAAAATATAATAATTACATTAATTTTAAAAAAGGTAAAATAATAAAAATATCTCATTAACTCTCCATTTTTCTCCTTTATCATTTTTGTAACTCCCAAACAAAGGAAGAGAATACCTTTCAATTTTCTTCCCTTCCTTCCCTTTCCTCCCCTTGGATTTCCTTCTTTCCCTTTCCCTCCAAACTCCAAACAAAGCCTTAAAGAGTTCCAAGTTCAAAATTTGCTTCACATTATGTGGAAGCTTTTGAAAGTATTTATAGAGTCACACCAAGAATCAATACTTGGCTTCACCAACATGAGCTTATTGTACTCCTGTAATCAACTCTTAAATTCGCGCTCGCATATGTCGGCTTCACAAACTAATTCCAATCCAAGATGTAGAGGGTGGTGAAATTTGATTTTAAAATTTTAAAATTTGATTAAATTTAAAATGCACGTAATTGCACTATTGATTTGATAATAACTGTGCAATTAAGACTTCTGCCCTAATTGTTGAAAAAAGTTAGCAAAATAGAAAAATTCAAACTTGCTGAAGCCGAGCCTAGCTTGTTTTATTAGGATGCAAAGGGCGGCGTCAATAAACTAAAAAGTAGGCTAATTGAATGTTACGCAGCTGTTGGTAACGATTTCCAACTACTCTGATGCCTCCTCACAACCACAAAATACAACACTCTCTTGTCCTTTCCATTTAACGCTCGAGACATTCGAATGGATGCTTCGTCCAAAAAATCAGTCTATTATGTCTTCAAAGAAAAATAAAAATAAAAATCAGTCTATTATGTTTCTTATCATTGTCTTTTGCTAATTTTGTATTATCATCTTAACAAATCCGTGTTCTAATAATTTCACATGAATTCAATTCCTTTCTTCTCACTCCCCGTCACTATACTATGTATTCTAAAAATCATATATGTTCAATATTATATCGCTACTTTAACTCCGTAAGAGACAAGAAAATTTTCTATGGCCATTAAGAATTATACATCAATCCAATTAAATTATGCGGTGTGCCACACAATTGACGTAGATAAATTTATTATTCAATAGATATTTTGGGAATTTAATCGTAGTCCGGGAAATCGTACAACACATCAATTTGTACTGTATTTTAGCACGTACTCTCTGGCTATCAATTTTATTTCCTATTTATTTTAATTTATAGGGTTATGTTAGCCTTTTATTTACTCTCTCATTTTGGAACCCATTTTTTTTTCTAATTAACATACTGCTGGGATTATGTTCTGCTTTTATGTATTCTTTCTTTTGGCCATGATTTTGCTACTATAAATATTGGTTATTAAGAATTTCAATACTTTCTTTTTAAAGCCTTTTATCTACCTATTCATACGAGACTTATTAATGATTGCCAACTACCTAAGTCACCCATTCTAGATTTGGCAGTAGGTTTTTTATTCCTGACAATTGTTGCTGGACTAATTTTTGCTTCTACTATCCATGACATTTTTATTTTGTTGAGTTTTTTTCTTTCTTATCAGGATATTCTCATAAACATTGCTACACTAACCTCTTAAATACAATTATGATTAAAAAGTTCTTTCAACAATTGTTCTATTAAAATTTTAAAATATAATTTTCTAATAATTATTTAACTGTTTTAGCATTTCATCATCACATATTGAATATAAAATATATAATTTCATGCTTCATGTGAGTGGTCCCAACTATTCATAAATAAATAGTCGGTAACATGAAATAAGAGACCGTGATAAAAAATAAGTACTTATTAATTTATTTGCCCACCACTAAGATGGGACATAAATACACCCTTTTCAATTAGTTTTATGGGGAAGGATATTCTGATAATCAACTTGTGTTATTACCAAGTGACTACCAATCAATTTTACTGTTAGATCGATTATGTGGATCCAACGATTATATTTATTTCCATCTTTGTATGGTCATGATTTCCCAAATTTAATACTTTATATTTATTTTCACCTTTGTATGGTTATGATTTTCCATATTTAATGCTTTCACTTTAAGTATGGGGAATCATGCACATACAAAGATGGAAATAAATATAATCGTTGGATCAATATAATCGATCTAACGGTGAAATTGATTGGTAGTAACACAACTTGGTTGTGACAATATCCTTCCCCTAGTTTTATAATATACTAAAATTTTCATCACCAAATATTTCTTAATACCTAATAGTTTCTCTCTGGAAATAACAGAAAGTTGGAGAAGCCTTAACTCCCCACCTCTTCAAACTCTTCCCTTTAAAAGAATACCGGTACCACATATTATATTCATTACAATGCATACTAAAATATCGTTCAACAACATCACCATATCTTCACCCTTCTCTTTTTAAAACCCCCTCTTCTCCCTCTCTCCTCATAACATTTCCAAGCTGGCTAGCTAGTACATCCACACCCATCTTCTTCCTCTCTTTTCACTCTTTGTGCCATGGTAATGGGAGCCTTACGCCATTTTGAACCAATCACAAAATGCAGCACAGAACAAAGATCAAACCAAACCGTGGCTTCAGACTTGGATGGCACACTTCTTGTGTCTCGAAGTGCTTTCCCTTATTACATGCTTGTTGCTCTTGAAGGTGGAAGTTTCCTAAGAGGACTTGTCCTCTTAGCCTCTGTCCCTTTTGTGTATTTCACGTACCTATTCATATCTGAAACCGTGGCTATCAAAACCTTGATCTTCATTACCTTCGCCGGGTTGAAGATCAAAGATATTGAGATGGTGTCAAGGTCAGTGTTACCAAAGTTCTATGCAGATGATGTCCATCCTGAGACATGGAAAGTGTTCAATTCTTTTGGTAAGCGTTACATTGTTACTGCTAGTCCAAGGTTGATGGTGGAGCCATTTGTTAAAACCTTTTTGGGTGCTGATAAGGTTCTTGGGACAGAACTAGAGGTAACAAAATCAGGGAGGGCAACTGGGTTTGTTAAGGAACCTGGTGTGCTAGTTGGTGAGCACAAGAAAGAAGCTATTGTCAAGGAATTTAAGTCTAGCTTGCCTGATTTGGGATTAGGAGATAGTGAAACCGATCATGACTTCATGTCAATTTGCAAGGTTGGTACAATTAAATTTCTTTCACAATAATATATTCTCATATGTTTCTAACAATCTATTTAACATGTTAAGCATATATATATATATAGATGTTATGTTATGTTTACTATCTAAAGTTTGATTACTAATACATTTCAAAAGCCATTGGTACAAAGAAATAAGGTCTTTCCTAGTGTAAAGGAAATATGTAAGAATATCATTATTCTATAATTATATGAACTCAATGTTGTTTTAATTTACCTTTGTTCAAGTTTTTATTTTTGGATGAGTGAGCCACTTTTGAGCTTTGTGGGCTGTTTCTTATCTCAACAGAGCTATAGTAGTTTATTTAAAAAAAATAAAAAAAATAAAAGCATAAGTATAAAGTTAGTATAATTTATGTAAAATTCAATTCATGTTTGGTGAGAGAGTTATTGAGTACGACATGTTGTTATCACCTATAATGAGCCTCTTTCCAATTACTGTTTCCGTGTCTCTATTCTCTCACGGTATACGTAAACCCCTCTTCTTTTTTGTTCTATTTCTTCTTTTTTTCATTATATTTACTACCTCAAACGTGTAAGTGGTCCCCCCACGTTCTATAGCCTATTTATGGATACACCTTTAGCAGCTTCAGTTTTGAGCTGTTTATGCCTCTGCTTTTCGGTTATGAGTCATTCTCCATCATAAATCATAACCCCTAACTACTTTTAAACACTAGTAATATTAAAGCTCCTTAATTTGTTCATTTTCAAGCGTAAACCAAATTCAATTTCAAAATTGAAGACTATACACTCCCATGAATTTCTCATGTCCAACCCACTTTTGAAACAAAATCCAAGCCCCCATAGTTTGTAGCTCATGTAAAAGATATGAAAAGCTGGAAAACTTGACTCTGTTTGATTGTTGTTTTTAAAATAGTTTTTTAGTTTTCAGAATAAAAAAATTAAAAAACTCGTTTGGTAAGTCCTATTTTGTAAAAAATATTTTGAAAACTATAACTGTTTTTTTTTGTTTTTAAAATCAAATTTAAAGAACATGCCTAAGTTGTTTTTGTTTTTAACTTTCAAAAATTAAAAAATATAGAAAACAACTGTTTCCATAACTATTTTACAAAACAGTTTTAAGAACAAAAAAACCAGAACACAATCAAACACACCCCTTATCTCCATACATAGCACATCATCATTCAATTAATAAGTACAATCCTTATGACATTCCCTATCAACTTAATCTATACAAGTTTAATTGAACCTTCTTTTTCATTAAATCAGCTATTCAAGGGATTATATATAGTACCCTACATCAATTTAGTGATATTTTTCCAAAGTGAACCACCATTAGAAACTTAATCACGGGTTACAAGTTTTAATTGTGGTCGGTGGAAGACAAATGAATTTGATGAAAATGTCTCTCATGGATGGTCACTATCCACATATGCATCCAATAAAATTATGAACTATATTTTCCCCTGCAGGAAGCATATATGGTGCCAAGGACTAAGTGTGAGCCACTACCAAGAAACAAGCTTCTAAGCCCAGTTATTTTTCATGAAGGTAGGTTTGCTCAAAGGCCAACTCCTCTAGCTGCCCTCTTAACCTTCCTATGGCTTCCAATTGGTATAATACTCTCTATCTTAAGGGTCTACCTTAACATCCCTTTGCCTGAAAGAATTGCATGGTACAACTATAAGTTGCTTAGAATCAGAGTTACTGTGAAGGGTACCCCTCCACCACCCCCAAAGAAAGGTCAAAGTGGAGTCCTATTTGTTTGTAACCACCGCACAGTTTTGGACCCAGTGGTTACAGCAGTTGCACTAAGAAGAAAAATTAGCTGTGTCACATATAGTATAAGCAAATTCACTGAAATAATTTCACCAATCAAAGCTGTGGCACTCACAAGGGAAAGAGAGAAAGATGCAGCTAACATCAGGAGTTTGCTTGAAGAAGGGGACTTGGTGATTTGCCCTGAAGGCACAACTTGTAGAGAACCATTCCTTTTAAGGTTCAGTGCACTTTTTGCTGAGCTAACTGATAGAATTGTCCCAGTTGCTATCAACACAAAACAAAGTGTGTTTTATGGGACAACAGTTCGTGGTCATAAATTGTTGGACCCTTATTTTGTGTTCATGAATCCCATGCCTACATATGAGATCACTTTCTTGAACCAGCTTCCCAAAGAGCTAACATGCAGTGGAGGGAAATCTGCAATTGAGGTTGCAAATTACATTCAAAGGGTCCTTGCTGGTACTCTGGGATTTGAATGTACCAATTTAACTAGGAAGGACAAGTATGCCATGATTGCAGGAACAGATGGGACAGTTCCATCTAAGAAGCAGAAAGCTTGAGACAGAGCAGTTCCATCTAAGTAGTTCCCTTTTGATTCTGTATTGTGTTTCCAAAACAATTAGAATTATGATAGTAATAAAAACTGATTGTGATGATTCCCATAAAAAAAGCAAATAACAGTTTATGTAAATTTTGTTATTTTGATGGATACAAATTATAGCTTCTGTTATTGGGTAAGTCCTGAAATCTAGTACACTTTTGAGTCTTGAAGAGTTTTCATATATAGTCTGTGGCTCTGTGCCAGCATGAATGTGTGTTAGGTATGGCAGAGACAGTGCTGATGGAGATGTGGCATGTGCAATAAGGTGCATTGATTTTCAATGAAGAAGTAACGGCATTGCTGTAGTATCATTAAATTGCAGGCAATTCCAGCTTGAGGCTGACAAGCATGTCTAACCCTAGATATATATTTGGCTTAATGGTAGAAAAATATGTACATATGATGTGACAAGTTACAGGATTCTCATATTATTGTGACTGTGGGGGGGTTCTACACAGCTTGATTGGTAACTGTGGCAACAGAATGGACTCAATTAACTTGGAAATAAGACAATTTGTCCAATAAAGACATTGCTAAAGGCTTGGGTCCCAGATGCAGAGCCAACATGTATACACATTGATGTATTTATAGACTAAAGATGTCTACCTAATCAGAGAACGGTTGGTTGTTATTTTGTATAAAGTTTATGAGAAAGTAAAGTAGGAATAAAATTATTTCATATCTGGCATAAGAAATAAAATATTATTAATAGATATGAGCTATGTAGCATCGATACTGACACGGGACATGACACGATACGACACTCCGACACGTTAATTCTAAAAAATGTTAGATTTCGACACGTTAGAACACGTCTTGATATTAAATAATATTTTTAATTTATGTAGTGTATATTATATCTAATATTCAATACTTTAGCAAAAAAATGAATCTAAACTTATAATATTCATAAATTTTGCAAAGAAACATAAGATATCCAAAATATTTATATTAAATTCAATAAAATGGTAATCGTAATCCAACGAATCTAATAGTTGGAACTAAAAACTCAACGCAACGCAACCTCTGAACCTTTTTTGAATTTCTATAATGCGTGTTGGAGTGTCGGGGAGTGTCGGAGTGTCCGAGAGTGTCGGAAAGTGTCGGACACGACACGTCAGGGTCTTTGAAGTGTTGTTGCTTCATAGGATATGAGAGATACCTAGAAATTAAAATTTGTGAATAAGGGGAGCATTTAATTCCCACCTTAATTTATAGGTGGGAATAAAAGAAATTCTAACTAGTCAAATTACTAAACTATTCTTTTGTTTTGTTTTCCTTTATGAGAAACTCCTTTCCATTGAGTTCATTGAATTTCTCTTGTTTTTTTCCTCTGCCCACTCGTTTTCCCTTTGTTCCCATGAGCTATTCGAGTCTCATCAAGCTCTGCACATTAGAATTTGAGTAAAACAGCTCAACATGGCTTTGGGAACAAAGTCACATCCAAATACTCAACCTTTGTCCAGTAAGTCATTTCCCCATTTTGGAGTGAATTTTAGTGCTCTGCAGCAGGTACTCCTTATAATAAAAGAAAAATAAAGGGAGACTCGTGTAAAGATAAAATTCTGGTATCAAACCTTTATCTCATATAATTAGCAGTAGTATTTAAATAGACTAACTTCTTACAAGAGATATTCAATCCTATCTGATAAATACAAAATATAAGAATGAGTCGTCAGTCTTTTCTTGTTTAATAAATACAAAGGATAAGAATGAGTAAACAATTATACAAAGGATAAGAATAAGTCATCAGCCCTATCATATCTAATAAATACAATGGATAAGAATGAGTCAGGATCAGGATCATATCTTCTCCAACACTCCCCCCTCAAGTTCGAGTGTGTAAGGATGCAATGCCGAACTTCAGAAGGCGTGTAAGAAATGCAACATGGCCTAAGGCTTTTGTAAAAATATTAGCAAGCTGTGATTTTGTAACGCCTCGTCTGCAGCCGATTAATTAACATTCATATGATAGTAAGCGCAACATGCTCAACTTAATTAATGCGGAAGCTAACTGAATAAATTTTCTCTTTTTCCTTATGTATTGCAAACCTTTTCACTTCCATGGCCAAAATAAAACGGACAGTATTTCCTCTGTATTTTGGACCACTGGGGATAATTCCCACCAAGACAATTTCAACCTGATTAGCAGTTTAATATAATCCAAGCATAAACCATATTATCCAGTCAACCATGACGTAGGCTTTCTCATAATCATAACAGGTCTCAAAATAATATCCATAGAGTTACTTACATGATTACATCAACCAACCAAAAGAGATGTAATCAAATAAGTAACCTATACATATACAGACATAACTAACAAAATAGATAAGCTATCAACATGGCATAGACATCTCCTATGCTTTCAAAATAATGACATGGCATATAGATACATATCCAAAATAAATTCATGCCAAATATTCATCAACATATCAATCAAATCATACTATCATGTCAGATAGTATCTCTCCTCTGGCCTTTCACCACTCGATGTCTCAGCATCATCAGCTCCTGTACTTGAAATGATAACCTCATAATGCGGGGTGAGATAATATAATTACCTTAGTAAGCTAGGGACCCTTAGAGGGCTCCTCCACCCCTAAGCTCACTTCTGGTATAATCACAATACATAAAATATTCATGCATGCATCAGAATATATATGACAATGCAATGTGCAATAATGTAATCCTACTGGCCAGAGAATATAACAAGTATGTCTTACGCAAGGAAACATCGTCTTGCAATATACCATATGAGGAAACACCGTCTCATACTATGCATAAGGAAACACCGTCTTATGCCTCACACAAGGAAAAACCGTCTTGTGTGGCACACAAACATATATACATATACATGCAATATATAATAAATTATTTTCAATGTACCATATCAAACTACCACCCTCCCTCGGAGTTTGGTGGAACAAACGGGAGATTATCCCCAAGGACCAAAAGCTTATCTGGAATAGCTCTTTTTCTAGCCTCTTCCAAGTCAAAAGTCCACAAGCCAACAAAATACTAAACACATGACCAACACACCTATCCATGGTGAATTTATCACAATTAAACATATATCCATTTCATATAAGTTTCACATCAAACCATTGTTTAATACTTACCTCAATCGCAAATAATCAAGGACCTTGCTCAATGTCCATGCTCTTGCTCCACAAGTCCACTTGGTCTCACACTATAACCAATGAACACATTTACATCATTATCCATCACCAGTTCATATATACGGTACTGTTCATCTCTACAGTACTATTCACATATACGTCACTATTCATGTATTCGACACTATTCAAAAATACGGTATCTTTAATTTTTTCGAATGCATTTTCACCGTTAAAATCTTCATCTAAACATTTTTCTCAACATGAGCTAAGCCACAATCAAGCTCTAACATGCTCATTCAAGCCAAACTTTCAAATGAAAACCTAAATTAAATCTTCCTCAAAACCCAAAGAAAACTAGGATTTCTTAATATAAACTTACCTAGAATGAAGGGGAAAGCTTACTTCAAGATCCCATGGCCTCAAGCACCATCAATATCCATCTTTTCCATGAAATTCAAAATCTTAGGGAAAGAAGATTTCTCTCTACAGTGAACTCCACATGAAAATATGGGTACCAATGTGTTCCTCTCAAAATTTCTCACAAGTTTGGCTTTGGAATGGAGTGATTTGGAGGTCTCTAGCTCTCTCTATGAATTTTGGAAGATTTTCACTCAAACCCTTTTTTTTCATTTTCTTGGTCTCTATCGTTGATCCGCGGAAGGGAAGAAGAATAGTAAAGCTTTTTGAAAATTTTCACTTACATAAGTTAAGTGAAATTCAACTTGGTAAAGGCTTATCTATCTAGTCACCTCTATTTATTACCAAACTTTACACACTAGTCCAGTATATTTTTGTGGTAATATTTATAATTTTACTTTTCACTTTCGGGTAACTTCGTTTACCCGCATTTTTACCCATTAACTGTCATTTTAACTCATTTTTCACCAAAGGTGACATTATTTATTTTTATTCTACTTTCATTATAATTATTCTTTAATATTAAATCCATAACTACATGTGAGGGTTATTATAAATTTGGATCGAACATAGGCAATGGTAATATTGTTGGCCAAGATATGTTCTCAGACTGAGTAGAAATCCAGTTCAATGTGTTTAGTATGTTCATAGAAGACTGGATTTGCTGCAATGTGCAAGGCTGCCTGATTGTCACAAAATAATTCCATAGGTCCATCACGTGCCACACTTAATGATGTAAGGAAAGCTTTGAGTCATACTAACTCTACCGTAGTAGCTGCCATAGACCAATATTCAGCCTCTGCTAAAGAACGTATGACTAACCTGTCTTTTAGTTTTCCAAGAGATCGGAGAGCTTCCCAACATAACAAAGAATCCAGTCAGTGATCGAGGGTTAGACGGAAAGAGGCCCAATCTGAGTCGTAGTATACATGTATCTTCAAGTCGCAATTTGACTTTAGAAGAAGACCTTAGCCTGGGTTCCATTTCATATATCTAAGTACACTCATGATTGCATCAAAATGAGCTTGCTTTGGTTGTTGCATGAATTGTGAGAGTATGTGGATAGCATAAGACAAATAAGGCCTAGTGATAGTGAGTTAAATAAGCTTGCCAACTAGTCATCTGTCATGCTCCGGGTTTGCAAATTCTGGTCCATCTGCCAAAGCCAGTCTATGATTTTGCTCCATAGAAAATTGGGCAGGCTTGTTGCCACTCGGTCCTGATTCCTCAAGTTTAAATTTTAACAAGTTTACTAAGTCAAAATGTTGACTGGCCTTTTGATTGGTAAGAAAACCTTTAAGTGTTCATCTTTCTCCATATGAATGTCACGAACTCAGCCTTGTTCTGCACCTATACCGTTCAGCCATAGAAGACATAAAGGAGCTTAGAACTTCATCTTCCAAGCCATAAAACCCAAGACACCTTTCATAAAAAATGGTCATTGAAGCTTAAGGAACAAAACCTTGTGATGATACATTGTTACTTCTTCCTTTTGATAAAAGTCATTGTTTGCACGTATCAGATAA